ATATATATATATATATGTATATATACTGTACATGTAGAGCCTTTTTTTTGCTTTCTTAGTCTTTAGTGGTGGACTGGTTCCGTGTGCAGTGTTCGGAGAAGCGTCGGTGCTGTTATTGGCTTTCCTCGTGGGGCCAGGCACAGGGTACAGTGCAACAGAAGCGGATTCATTTCGTCTCAGGGTTTGAAAGAGGATTTGCAAAGTATGCCTTGATGCAGCCAGTGGAACATTCATGTCAGCCAGAGCTTAAGTTCAAGCATAGGAACTTCCAGGTGCTTCAATGCACTTGTACTTTGCAGTTAACCCATGAGGACATCATGTTGTCTTCGAGAGATGGTGATGGTAGGGACGGTAGCCTGCTGGCAGCAAAGGCGACACATCCTCACCCCTGAGCGTTGTCAGACTCCGCGTTCACGAGCGGCGAGAAATGTCCGCCTGCTTCAAAAGAGCGTTCGGAGCAGTTTTCAGAATCCACATGTGCAGGAATTGGTGCCTTTCATGTGGGATTTGAGCAGTGCACGATCTTGGTATTTTATTCAACTCTTTTTTGTTGTAAGATTGTCACTCTTATGCTCAATCATATCAAGTCAAAAAATGAGTTTGGTACATGACTTGACTTGGACCTGAGAGGCTCTCTGAATTTGGCTCCACTCCAAAGGCACTCTCCTGTCACAAGAAGAGGTGTTTTCATTGCCCAGGGCCGAAGTGCCCTTGCCGCAGCCCATTTGGGAAACAGGGAACCGGTGACTGTTTAGGAGTGACTCGGTGACTCGCAAACGCGTCAGAGGGTGAACCGTTTGTACGTTCGATATTCCATGCCAGTGCCATGCCATTGCCATTGCCATGCCATACAACCATCCATTCGGAAAGGAACGACATTATAGATCCGGATTTCCTGAAACCGATGGGTTTGGCATGAGTTATAGACATTAGCTGACAGCGTTCGCCATGCGGTCGCCCCAAAGTCCTTGCCAGAGACCGTGAGGGCGTCATCGGTCCATCAAGCAGACACTGGACTTTTGTGACTTTCATGGATCTAGGCAAAACTGGGATCTTGCACTGAGAGAAACCAATGATTCTCGAATTGGCTTGATTGATCTTTGCATCTGGGGGCTAGAAATTCACGCTTTTCTCTCCAGTGTTCGTGCTTGGTGGTTCTATTTGCTGTTGGTGAGTGGGTGATTTAGATGCTTTGAAGAACTGCAGGCCCCGAATAGGGTCTCGTCAAGCCACGGTCGTCTATAGCAGTATTAGCAGTGTCTTTAACTTTAAGACATTTCTAATTTTCTCTCCCTGTTTGGTCACGAACGCTTCTTCTTTTCTTCACTTGCATCCTTGTTGTGGGGCTTCATCCTGCTATAGACATTCGGAACACAAACGTGCTGGTCCGTGGGCACTCGAAGAACCCAACAAGATCGTTGAACAGATCGTTCTCTAGCACATCGGTACCCCCAAAACAGGCTAGTGAGTGCGACAATAGGATATTCTTTGATCGAAGAACGGCTCGACAGTATTCTGAACAGAAAAGATATGGGTACTCCAAAACAGTATTCTTTCATTGCTTTCAACATGATTCTGCATCATTTTCTCGATATGAAGAAACAGCAGCCAACTCGTACACACGCTGTCCAATCCCGCAGAACAACGCACGCATGCTCTACACATTATATACATTGCTTTTGAAGCCATTTGGGTCGTGAATCTACGGGCCTGTTTGTTGTTGTTGTTGTTGTTGTTGCTGTTGCTGTTGCTGTTGCTGTTGCTGCTGCTGCTGCTGCTGCTGTTGGTGTTGTTGTTGTTGGTGGTGCTGCTGCTGCTGCTGCTGCTGCTGCTGTGCTGCTGCTGCTCAGCGTAAAAACATAGGACCAATTCATTTGGTTTGAGCAGGTAGATGCCTCAGGTAAGTGACCCAATGTAGCATATCAATTCGGAACCAAGAGCGAGAGGCCATGCATGTCGTGCTTGTTTGGCCAAGGTATTCGTAACGGCACTACCGCCATCTTGCATATGTCAAAACTAGGTTAACCAGGTATCCCGGAGACCATGATGGACTCTGGAGGGTTTGATGATGATGATGATGTTCTCTGGTGCAATGTGGCCGATGCGTTCTCCGGCTCTTATGGGGCTGATGCAGCGCGTTTCAGTCCTGCTGAGACGTCAAACACATCCGTTGGCCTCTTATGAGGAAAAATGTGCGAGACAGGAACACACAAAGGCTTCTAAAAAAGGGACTGTACCGTTAAAACTGTCGAAGAAGCTATTCGCTTTGTTGCTAGACTGATGGCGGTGTGGATCAGCAGATTTGGCCGAAATCTGCAAGATTAGCAGTGTTGATTTATGTGGATTTACTCCATGGCTAGGAAGACAATGCTTGCTCATGCAGTGTTCTCATACAAGTTTTTAGCATGAAACTGGGAGTGAAGGAAGAAAACATGGACTGAGCCTGGTGGTAATTGGACTCAGAACCATATCCAGTACTACCACTGCACTGCACCATTGTCATCCGCCTTCTGCGCCACCAGGCCACTCTGCTCATCTCTGTTGCTCGTCGATGGCTAGCGACCAAGGATGTTGCGCCCGACATGACTTTTTTGGCACAGAACAGCGCGACTGGCATCAAGAAGCCCGAGTTCAGCGAACTCGGAACCTGAACCAGCCTTCCAGACCTCAGCGAAGTTCAGACAAATTTCCGCCATAGCTTGCTCCGAGACCTCAGTAAGAGCTGATACCAAGGCTATGCCAGCTAGACTTGGCGAGAAGATATGAGGTGGAGACAGTGTTGAACGAAGTCCTTTCCGGACAACATGAGTTCAGTTTTTGTCTTTGTCTGGGCACGGGGGCCGGTCACCGAAATAGCAAGTGGGTCAATGGATCAAGGCCCTGAGATCACCAGAAGATCGCTTGCGCGATCATGATTTCATCCAGCCGGGTCTTCTTTCCAGCAACACGCTGTCCAGGCACTGCGACGTCTGCAGGGCTGCCTTCGTGCCTGGCGAAGCCTGGCGAGTTGAGAAGCGTGTCTGATGAAGAAGCGTGTCTGAAAGATTGAGAAATCCACTACATGGAACATCGTGTAGACTGTAGACCCTGTACAACTTATGTTTGAAGTTTTTTTGTTGTTCGCCACCACTTGCTCCAACGCACCCAACCAGAGAAGGTCGGTCCCATCTTCCCCGCTTGCATGCTGCATGGTGCTCCCTTCGGAAAGCCTTGCTGAGCAGTCAGTTGTAGTGCGTTGTGCCTTCTGCAGTTCCCCTTCCGGACGATTTATACTCTAAAACCTAGTTCACTGCCAATCCGGCCGTGACTGACTCGAGTCCGCCAGTCGTGCTATACTTTAAAACCTCTTCAAGTTTTCCATAATGCCATAGTGAAAAGAGTGTGAGACCTTCTGAGAATTCCTCACGGAACGCCAAGACAGGATGAAAGCCTCGTCTCGATCTTATCCACGATTTGTTCGTGGCAGGTTATATACAGCGGCTTTGTCCAGAATGCGGCAGAGTCAGGACACGCTCTCAGTATGCCAAGTGGGACACGCTCCAATCGACTCCATGAGCGTTGATTGGGTCGCTGTGAGCCTGGGACCAAAACCTCCCAGGGGCAACCTGCCCCAGCGGGCAAGGTATGACTGCAAAACCGGCTTCAATGGTGGCTTTGCCGGAGTCACTCAAATGTGGCAATGGGTCAAAACCGGAGGACCCTGTTTTTTATCACCCAAAATGACGAGAAGAGAAACTACTGACCAACCTACCAGGGAGGGCCAACCAGATACTGACTGAGGGAGGTCAACCTACCAAGGTGAGTTCCGGACTCCCGGTGCCATGACCAACATTGACCAACCATGTTTCCACCGAGGCTCGAGATGTGATGATCTGCTTCCTGCGCCGCTGGTGCCCTTTTTTTTTCGTTTCGGGGTTTCAAGTACTCGCAGCGTGACAGAAAAAGAGACATGATCATGCTGTGCGAAAAACATGACACCCTTTCTTCAACCTTCTTCAACTAGGGACCCTCAATTTCACGGGATGGAGTCAGGGCCCAGTGAAGACCTCTTGTTGTAGGACCTGATCAGGACAGGATTTGTTGGCACGCACAGGTTGGCATGGCAGAATTTGCTAGACCTTGGGGCGGAGGCTCTTTGGGCGTGCCGAGCGCTGAATAGGAGCTTTGAATGCTTGTACTCTGTTGTCATTGTAGACGCCTGAATTGGTACTCCACACGATGCATGTGAGTGTCGGCACTTTGCACCGTTCTAAGTGGGCTTCTTGGCGAAAACGGGCTCACCATCCACACAGGAGTTTCATGAAGCATAATCCATGCCCCTGGCTGATGTGTTCGAAGCAACATGCAAATAGGTTTTTTGTTAATGAAACTTCTATGCTACAGGGATCAGTGGTGGACTCGGTCTATTCATCCGACTACGAGCCAGAGTCCCAATCAAGGCCTGGGGAAGACTCTCGTCTCTTCATCGTGCTGGACAGACTGGATAGATGTCGAACATGTTGAGCATACTGCAGTTTGAGGGCGGGTTTTGGCCAGAAGGGACCTGAACAACGGACCCTGATAGGAATTCAACTGTATATAATTGCAGTATATACAATGTAAATACATAATACGTGGTCGTTCTATACTATGTGCCTGTTGTTCATCAGGCAGAACCGTAGACACCTTCTAGCTTGCTATGCTGTGTCACCCTGACTTGCCCGTCCATTTTTTCCCGCGGGAGTTGTCCGGACAACTCCATTGAAGGTGCAGCCCAATGAGCGCAGGAGGCGACCGCACACGTGGTGATTGACCGCGCACTTGGGAAAATAGGTGCAGGCTTGGAAAAATGTCCATCTACACATACTTCTGGGGCCCCATTTTACTTGGCTAGCTCGACCTCATCTTAGAGACTAGGCGTTTGTGTAAACTCGTCTGAGATTCTAAAGACCTGAGGCTTGGGGCAAATTGATGTTAGCCTTTCTGAACAGTTGCTTGGCTTGGGTGCCTAAGGTCTGTAGCCATGGTGCAATGGGAAACCGCTGACCTGCCTACAAGGGCTACAAGAGGGTCACATGCTCGTAGTTGAGTGAGCCTGCTGACACTCCAGCAGACTGTCTCTTCTTGATCTTCCACAACTGCCAGGTGACTCGCTTGCCGCAGGTCAGGAAGAAAATACTGCGACCGACAGAAACGAGGCGCCGTCTCAACTGGATCCTGCACGACGAGAGTATACTCGGCAGCAACGGCAATCTTTCTAACACAAATCCATAGCAGTGTTGGATGTGTTGGGAAACCAGTTCTTGCACTTGGGCCGATTGAACTCTCCAAAGGCACTGGCATTGGTCGTTCGTCTTGTTCGTGTCGGCGAGGATGTCGACATCGACATCCGACCGACGACACCGGGGACGGGGACCAGCGGAGCCGTTTCGAAGGTCTCAGATCACCCACATCGACCTCGTCTCACCTCCATCGTCGTTTCGTGCGACACCGGAGGACGGGTTCCCCCGACCCGTTCCAAAGCGGACTTCTCGGCGGTTGGGGGGGGGGGGAACCCAAATGGGGCCGCTCACGCCGGTGGCACGGTCTCTCCAGGTGAGCCCGCAGAGTCCGGGAGCTGAGAGATGCAAGGGAAGAAGCCAAAACGAAACAAAGCAAATGTGGTAATGGATTTATCAAGAAGCCGACAGTTCAGATGTTTTTCTGGGTGGCTTACCTTTCTTTTTTCCGCTTGACTTCCCATTTTGAGAGATGAACTGCTTTCTGTCTTGCACTCAGGTTACATTTCACTGGACGCTTCCTCTCTCGGGAGGCGAGACAAGTGTCACTTTGCCATTTGAGCGATCTGAGGCACAAAGAAATGAGATTAGGCAAAAAGAGGCTCTCCTCTCACTCCATTTTGGTGGCAAGGCTTATTCATTACAGCCATTGGGACGCGTTCGCGTGTAGGGCCTTTGTGTCAGAGGGGTGGCACCCCGACTGGTGATGGCTCGCTCGTGAGTGGACAGTTCAAAAACCAATCGTAATGCCCTTTGCTACTAGTAGCTTCTTGCTACTAGTAGCAATGGCCTCCAACCTAATAGCGATGGCCTCCACCTAGTAGCTTCTACAGCTACTAGTAGCTTCTAGCTACTAGTACGAGCCTTTGCAGGATGCCGCGCTGGGAAGGCGCTTTGGGATTTCACCATGACCGACTCTTCGCTCGATGCGAAGCAATCGCTTCGTGGGGAGGCCATCGGATCACAGCCATCTGACCGGCTGTTTTCAAAACACATCCTCCATGTGTTTGGAAAAAGCACCGCATACTATTTAAGCTGACCGTACAAATACATGTTTCAAGGCTGTCGGACAGCTGTGCACCGGAATCTCCAACGCCCGTATATGTGGGGGGCAGAGCAGCTGTGATGGGTTTTCGCTTGGCTTTAGGACTCATGATTGACTCATGATGCGTTTGGACTTGAGAACCACATCAGCTTCCAGAGGCACCAGCTTGTCGAGATGATACAGATAGACAAGTTTTGTTTTTCTACGTCACAGGTGGACTTGAATTTCACTCTTTACATCCACTTTCATTTCTCTTCCAACATACATGGTGACTCTTTTTCTCCACTTTTGACACCACGCTCTTCTTCTCGGGGCCTTTGCCGCCTCCAACTCGCAAGGTGTTTCTTCGCCTCACTGGCGATCACATTTGGAAATCCCACCCATGAAAATCCCCGAGTTCAAGGAGCTTCAGGCGAGAGCCTCAGTTCATGGAAGTGCTTCGTTACAATGAAAAGGGTCATTACAAGCACAAGCCTATTCATTATATATATATACATATACACAATATATATACATATAAACACAATATACATATAGACACAGAGAACCTGTTGTATTTTTTTGCTTCGTGACACTCGGGACATTTTTCCGCCGGTGCCTTTCACCCCCGATCGGGGAGGACCAGGACGGTCCAGTTGACGGACGTGGCGACCACGTCGGCTACACCGAGTGACCTCGTCCTGTTCTTTCACCACAGGGATGTGCAGCTCAAATAGGGAGACACCTGGCGTTCCAACCCCCTGGAAGGAGGAAAATAGACCAAAGCCTTCCAAAACGATCCAAAACGCATTGGTCGGGGGTTCTCCCTACTAAAATACGCCCACGCAGACATGGTGAAAGGTGAAAGGTGACCCTTTTTGGGGCTCTGGAGAAGCGGCTCGCCGTTCCGCAGGGGAGTCCGGCTCGCTGCGTGGCACGAAGAAAGCGAGCTGCAAGGCACCTCTGAAGAACTTTGAGCTGGAAGCCAACAGCTTTATCAGTGGTGGGTGCCCTAGGAAGGTGTGGTGATTTGGAATTGGAACTGAAGAGCATGAGAATCCGAATGAAGCAGGCGTACTTCGTTGCACGTCGAAGACGTATCTTAGATGAAACACCTTCAGCTGAATGCGCCAACAGGGCAGAGAGAAGTGAAATAATAAGCAGAGAGGTTAAGTCCACTCGTTAGGGATTCATTTTGAGGGTGCATAACGACATGTGATTCTGTTTGCCCCTGGCACATTGGCCTTTGGCCTGCTTTTAACATATATATATATACACACATATTCGCACACAGATTCATGAGCAACTTAGATCGGTCCCAAGACAATTAAGCTGTCACTCAAGCTATCCTCCCGGCCATGTAGCGATTGGTCGACCACTTCGATGGGACCATGGAGGACAGCCACAGCTCTTCTTCCGAAGGAGATGTCTCAGACTTCGAAGCACGAATGGCAGCTTGGGAGGCTGACCAGGAGGATGATCTGGACATCCGCTTCGAAGCCGGGTCCAGCGACGACCCCAAGGCCGACGCGGCCGAGGCCACTCGGCAAGAGCAGCGGCGTGTGTGGGAGCTGTTGTCCGAACGCTGGGCGCGTCCGGAGGAGAAGGAGGACCTTGTGAGGATGGAGAAGACCATCGACGAAGCAGCGAGGAGGTTGATGGAGCAAGGACAGCTGGATGACTTTGGGGAATTGTCGGCCGCTCCGGCTGAGGTGAGGCCAGGCTTGTGGATTGGCAGCGAGGAAGATGCCGGCGACGAGGAGTTCTTGGCACGTCAAGGCATCCGCGCAGTGCTGAACTGTACCGAAGAGATGGCGTGCGATCGGCGGAAGAACATCTATGAGAGGTTGGGCATCCAGCATTGGCACCTGGCCATGTACGACGACCCAAGCGAAGACCTGCTTGCAGCTGTTGACAAAGCCAGACCATGGCTCAAAGAGATGTTGAATGCCAATCTGGAGAATCTCCCTGAAAACCCTCCCTCCCAATCCGACCCCGCTTCTTCGCCCCTTTCGCCACCGGTGCCGGTCCTGGTGCATTGCTTCGTGGGGGGAAATCGTTCCGTCGCCGTGGTGGTGTCCTACCTGGTCCTTGAGGAGTCGATGACTCTGCTGGAGGCCCTGCGGCTCTGCGCGTCGGCGCGAGGCAGGGTGCTGGGGAGCGGTTCCTTTCCACTGCAGTTGCTTCGCCTGGCCAACGGGACGACTGAACAAGTGGAGAACAAGCGAGCGGAAAAAGCTCAGGTGGTGTGGTTCCAGCGGGGGATGTGAGTGGAGAGGAGACCCAGTGTGTTGACCTTGTGCCATTTCAAGAAGATTCTCAGAGGGAAAGAAACAAATAGAAACAATAGTTTTCACATATTCTCCAGATTCACAGCAAATAAATTAAGCTGAGAGTTTCTATAGGTGGAGTACAGATCCTTCTGAACAAGTCTTTCACAGCATATCTTGACAAGTCATGTCATGTGACGAGGCTGGCTTGAACTTCCATGGTGAATTCCAGGGACTAACACAGATCAGAGAATGGACTTTGGACATGCCCTTTTTCTTCATCGGGGAAGATCTTCGATCGATCCGAAACGTGCCTCGGCAGCTGGACCGATCAGACATCATGTAGCTTGTCGCGTCGTTTTCAGTCGTAGCATGTCGTAGTGAGCGGCAGTGGTGGCGGCCAGGCATGTTGACCGGCCGGGACATGAATAAGTGGAGGGTAAAGATCCTGGCCACTGGTGCATCAAGAGCCCTCAGTAAGGATAGACAGGCTTTGTGATGTCAGTTGCCAACAGAGCCTGTCTATGTCCGTTATTCCGAACTTCAGAGTTGGTGAGCGGTGAGCTAGCAGACAGGCATATGTGGACAAGCAAGGCATACGTAAACACTAGCAGGATCTAGCAGGTGTTGATACTTTCAGTCTTTGTCAGCGCACCCAAGCAGCCATGGCATTTGGCACGACAGCGATGTCTGGACGTCCATGGGACGAAGCACAGGTCCGAGTTTTTGGACCCTCAAGTTTTCTTGTCCAACTTCTCAGATGGAAGACATCCAAGATTCACTTGGACTTATCTTCTGCATTCTTGGGTGGACTTCATACCCTCTTGCTACAAACAAGGTGTTTTGCCAAGACATTGAAACAAGGCCACCAGAAACACCTCCGTTTTCGCCGCATGTTTTGGTCTGGAACGACCGATGGTTACCCGACCGGGACTGTGGAGCGCAGGTTGGAGCGCAGCCGATGGTCGGGCGGTTTCAGCTCATGCGCAGAATGCTCAATGGCGGCAGGCCCTGGAGGCTCTGGGCGCCTGCGCTCCAGACATTCGTGTCTCTTGGCGAAAAGGATCAACGTGTTAGAACGGAGCTGCAGAGCAAGTAGATGAGCTTGGTTCCGAAATCGCCCTCCCGGAAGCTACGCGAGGTTGCTTTTTACTGCAGAGGTAGGCTACGCGGTAAGGGGAACTCCGCAGGAGGCTACGCGAGGTCGCTTTTTACTGCAGAGGTAGGCTACGCGGTGCCTATGCGTAATAGTTCCCCTACTCGACGTAGGCTACGCTTCGCGGTACATTTGGCTTCCCCAAAAACGCTGGATTTTGAAGGTTCGAAGTGCCAACATTGGCATGAAATCAAGCCTCTCGGCGACTCCGAATCGGGCTGTTGGAATGACAATTCGAATAGATGAGGTCTACAGTACTGCCATCAAAGCCTGTGCGCGAAAAGCATGCTGGGAGCACTCCCTTCAGCTTTTGCGAGATTCGCTGGAAGAGGTGTGGAAAGCTTCCGCACCACCACCTGTCTTCTTGAGATTCTTGAGGGTATCTTTCAATGTTGACCATGGGGCCGCCGTCCCATCGGCGTGCCATTCCGGAGGCCTTGCAGCCAGACCTGGTGTTCTTCAGCGGTGTTGCCAGCGCGTGCGAGAAGACCTCGAAGTGGACAAAGGTCTTGGAGCTCTTCGTAGACCTACAACGCAGGAGAGGAATCAACCTGAACGGCGGCAGTGTGGATGAAACGGACTGGCCTGGGGGTTGGGGTCCAAAGCGTTTTGTGTTCTGTGCTTTTTGGCTCTTGGATGCTCAAAGAGCATCATATGCTGGCCACCGGTCCATCATCCAAGGCTTGGGCATGAAGGACTTGTCCACTGAACCTCCCTCTTCAGGGTTTGTCGGAGATGAGTCTTTGGTGACTTCTGTGCTTTCGTGACTCTTCAAGCTAGGACTCTCGAAGCTGATGTGATCTTCTTCAGCAGCTGCATCAGCGCCTGTAGCCGTCAGCAGTCGTGGGTGACTGCCTTGGCTCTCTTTGAGAAGCTTCAGGAGAAGCGAACAGGGAAAGCACCGAGCCATTCAATGCATTACAGTTTGGTATGCCGAGTTGAGGTGGCAAATCAAAGCACCAGTACCAGCCCTTTTTGAGGCTCTTTGTCCCAACAAAGTGTTTTGCCAACGCAGAAGTGGCACAGTCGGGGCTAGAGTCCAAGGTCCACAGCTTTTGGCTCCTGTCATTTACCATTGATTGGTTGATTAATAGAGGGGATACCCCCGGTCGTGTACAACCAAGTTTGGTATACGGTACTGTACACTATGGTAGCTGGCCAAAACCCTCCTCTTCCCAAAATGGCACCTCTCCGCTTCAACGACTCGTCAAGATGGCATCATGTCAGGACTCTGCTGTGCAGTCGGACGTCATCGTCTACAACTCTTGTATCAGTGCGTGTGGGAAAGGGCAGCAATGGCAAGTTGCCATGACCCTTGCCTGCAGGAAGACAGACAAAACACAGAGCATACAGTACATGCACAGAGCATAGTATATGCGCCCTCCAGCCTTCCTGGGCATGTCACATGTCCAGTGTGTGGATTGTTGGGGTTCCATGCTTTGATGCTTTGGTGTTTGTGATACAGTTTGGCTACCTGCGGCTACCTGGTGGAACACCCTCGAGCATTTGGAAGACCCTCCATGAAGTACGTAAACGCCGCTCAAACTCCTTGAGCTTGCATCATTACTTGCAGACAGTATGTATCACGCACATTGCCCCCAACAGGGCAACCCTCCCAAAACCATGTTACATAGTTTCTAAATAGAAATGCCTCAATTGTGGTACCCTCTTTTGTGAGCACCAATGAGGCCGGCATGTCCCTAGATGGGAAGACTTTCCAGGCATCCTTGTGGGAAGAGAAAAACACATCAGTTTTGAGACCAAATGCATGTCATCATCGTCGCATTTGCTTTTGAGTACTGTAGTGGTTGCATAGTTGAAGTTTTCATCCCTTCTTCGGAAGCTGTGCTGGATCAAGCGGTTGCGGTTTCCTCAAGTTGCCAGATGGAGGAGGGGGAACTCTTGTGGGCTTTGATCGATGCCGGGGACCTGGACGGCTTAAAGAAACTCAATCCCCAGAAGATTGATTGGAGCATGCTGCACACCGAAAGAGGCTACACATTGCTCATTGCAGCTGTGAATCATGGAACGGACATCTATGCCGATCAGGACCAAGGGGAAAGGGCGCTGAAAATCATTGAGTGGCTCATCAGTTCTGGGGCAAGTACCTCACAGAAGTGCTCACCCAAATCAAAGTATCGGCTATCTGTGGGGTCAGGCGAGAAGGAGATGGAGGTACACTATGCAGGTCACTCGGCTGTTTCCTTTGTAGCGGCCTGGCGAGAGCAGCTCCGGAACAAGCCTCAGCATTCGAAGCGATTGAGCTTCTTGGGGAACGTCTTGAACTGCTTTGCCACTGCCACTTCGTCCAAGGGTCAGCGACCACGCGTCTCCATCGATGAGGGCATCGCAGAGCTTTGGGAGAAATACCTTGGAGCAAAGGACTCACATGATTTGACCATTGAGGCTGCAGATGGATCCGTGACAGCACATGCACAGATGCTCAAAGAAGCGTCTCCAGTGATCAGGGCTATGTTAGCCTCGCCCATGAAAGAGAGGCACAATCAACGCATTGAAGTGAAGGACACTCCAAGTAGTGGCGTGTCGCTCTTCTTGGAGCTTCTTGGTTCCACGCAACAATCATTTCCTATTTTAATATGTTTTTCCACCTAACTATATACATGTTTCTTGGGAATGGCATTCCAATGTTTGAAGGGGTACTCTGCCATCCAGGATCCTGTACACGTGCTCCACGCAGGGTGACCCAGACTACAAAACCGCTTTGCATGCGTTGGACCTGGCCCATCGTTGGCAGGTGGATGTGGTGGTTCCCATCCTGGCGGATCTTCTGCCAGGAATGATCACCGATGAGAGCTTTCAGTCGATCGCCGAGCACGCCATCTTGCAGGCACCGATCAGGTTTTCGATGGGGACCTGCGCATGGTCCTGACCGCGCCCAACATCGCGTGCCGCCTACTGGAGGGTATGTTGAGACCAAACATACACCGAAATCCACGGGCTTTTCTTTTTTTGCAATCTCATGGTGCCACTTCGAACTTCCATCGGTTCTTCATGGTTCTTCCATCTTTGCACCTGCACCTGCTGTGCCTGCACCCTGTCAGGGACTGGAGAGAGTAAAGGCAGCTTCACAGAGGTTTGGCGCTGAATCTGCTGCTGTGCAGGACCTGGACCCGGTTGATTGTGAAGAACGGTTTTTGACCCTCCAAATAGAAAAGTAGATCCTATTAGGGGACCACTATCACTATAAAATATAATAGTAATACTGTACTATAATACAAAAACACTTTGAATGGCTTGTATGAACTCAAACCGTGACTCAAGCCGCAACATTTTGGCCTGGTAAACATGTGCACCACTGATATCTAACATTCAGAGGAACATAGATACAGTAAATGCCACACAACTCTGCACAAAGATGCTTTAAATCCTCGAGTTGCTTTAAATCAAGGGTACGCAACACGTTGTGGCTCATTGCCAGGCTCAGCTGAAGGGAGGTCGTCTTCCCGCCACGGTCATGCAGCTCTTCTCCACGGCTCCTCCCCGCCGCGCCAAGCGCCGGCGGCTGTGACCGCCCGTTCCGCTCGGAACCGAAAGGGGCGGTCCGTGGCCGCGGTGCGATGTTTAGCCATGTTGCCGAGCTGTTGGTTGGGTAGGAAGGGCCGAAACACGAGGTCTGCTGAGTTTTCATCATTTCAAAAGCCATTTGTTCAGACTCTTTGGTCCAGTGGTTCTACGGTTCACCTGGCTTGGTGCTCTTGCAACCATTCAACCAACCAGCCAGCCAGCTCAATCCAAGCGAAGCCAGAGCTGTGAGGATCCTCCTTTCGCAACTCTCTGAACAACAACTCCAACCAACACAGGCGCGATGAACGACACGGTGTCCTGTGATCTCAACCGTTGCAGATTGACACGGCTTTTATTAAGTACTACTTAATATTGAACTGGTGGCATGGCAGACTCATGAACGACTCATGAACGTGTTTTTCTATCAAAAGGGCAGACGACATGACAAGAGTTCTGGGACTCGATTTGCCCATTTTAGCGCTGTTTCTCAGCACGGTTCCGTGCCGGCAGGTCTCATTCAATGCCGCCTTGAGCGCTTGCGAAAGGGCAGGCCTTTGGCAGCTGGCTGTGCAGCTTTTGGCTGAAATGAAGGAGAGGAATTCGAAGGAGGGATTTGAGGCGGAGGTTGATTTGAACATTTGAAAAGGACATTGAAACGTCCTCAGCTCGCTGCCATGACACATGGCCAAACACCCCGAGTGCAGGAACACCCAGAAGCTGACCATTTGGGATCCAAAGCACTGCGAGCAAGGAAAGCCTGACTCTAGAGACAAAGCCATTAGGAACAAGTGCATCGCTTCTAGTAACAAGTGCCTTACTAGTAGTAACAAGAAGCTATTAGAAACAAGAATTAAATTAATTATTGTTTCCAATAGCTTCTTGTTACTACTAGTAAGGCACTTGTTACTAGAAGCGATGCACTTGTTCCTAATAGTTTCTTGTTAAGGAAAGCCTGACTCTAGAGACAAAGCACAGCCTTTTTCTGGCAGATAGAGTGCGGGCCGCGAGCCGTTTGGAGCTTTGGCGGCAGGAGGCCAAGCAGCAGCCGGATTTGCTGAGCAAGAACTGCTTCCTGGGAGCCTGTTCTCGTGCAGGTCACTGGAGAGAGGCTTGTTCAACTTGAGGAGTGGAGAGGAAGGGTGGCCAGGTGTTGTTCTCCCGGCGGCAGATTCGATGTACTGTATTCAATGTATGCTGCAGCCACCTCCAAGCAGACAGATGAACATGAGACAATCGGCATGTGCAGCGCAGGCACTGGAAGCCTTGGCCGACAGCAAGGCATGATGAGTGTGGTTTTTGTTGCCCACCCTATTCTGTGGTACCCGGTGGTGTGAGCTGCCCGGAACCCACCGAACCTTCGCGAAGCTTCCGAACCGATCGCCCTTATTAAGACACATTCCACATATCCCTTCACCAGTGGCCCGTTGGTGGATGACCAACATAAGACATAAGACCTTTTCATCCTTCGTCCATTCCTTTGTGAGTGTGGCGAATCGCCAAGAGACATGGGACTGCCCTTTTCTACACAAATCAGTCTCAAAATCGTGAAACATCATGAAATCATCCTCCCCTAACCTCTGAGACTCTGGTTCTGTTTTTCCTCCAGAATTCTCTCAGATCCCTTCCCACCCACCTGACCACCCACCCACTGCTCCGTTGGAGGCCGATGTGGTGAGCTTCAGCTGCGCCCTCGGCGCCTGCGGCGCCGCG